CGACTTTCATTTATAATTAAAAAAAGTCAATCATGTCAAAATTTATATGAATCTAACGAAAACTCATTTTTCAAAAAGTTGTAAAAATGGGACCTTTTAACTTGGAACACCCCAAATAATCCCGATTCTCAGATCTGGCGGTTCTGACATATCCGGGATATCTGGCAGATCTGGGATTTCTGGTGTCACGGTTTGGGGAGAGACTTTGTAATCTAGTTGCCGGTTTTAACTCTAATCGTGATCATAAAGGGGTCTATGTTCCTTTATTTATTGTTTTATTATTATTAGAGCAACGTAGGACAGACACATAAACGTGGGAACTAGAGAGCTGCTATTCAACGTTTTTATTTCTGTATAACGATAACACCTAATTTGTTGAATATGTAAGGTTTATGCAGGTTCTCAATTTATTTGGGAGATACTTGTTAATTCGGGTTTTTATAATTTGTTTATTAAAATAAAGTATTTACAAGACAAATAAGGAATATATATAGAAAATATCAACAGTATCGAAAATACTAAAAATATTAAGAACGATAAAAATGTTAAGAATGCTATGTATTTCATATGTTACGTGTACTATTCTACATCCTTTAAATACATTTCTTTCATAGTAATTCCCACAGTAAAAATGAAGTAACTCAAGAACGAGTTTACAAATTATGAAGTAAGGACTAAGTATAGACGCCAAGCGTTCATTAAATGTGATCATAAACGAAAAATATAGGACTAAAGGTACGACTTTCATAAAAATAGAAGAAATGAAGTAAATAATACGTAGCGAGTGATGATAATCGGTACTGGTATCTAACCGACCAAATGCCAAATGTAGTCATCAATCGGGCATGCTGGAGTTCACGTGGCGTCGACCTTAACGGGCAAATCTTGTTCGAAGACAAAATTTCCCGTGACACTGGGCGGGAAGCCTCAATTAGGATTTACCGAGTCACGTAGTCTCGTGCCTGCAAATACATCAAGGGCAATTTGTTATGGTGCCTCCATATCAATTGGACCGCCGTCAGGTCACGTTTCTGGTCTCACACCGCGATAATATACGTATCGGCCGAAAATTATATTATCAAAAAACTATACTGTTATTACCGAAAAATAATTATCGAAATTTGGATGATCATAAAATTCATCATGTGTCCCACTAATTTTCAATTCAGCTGTAACCAGAAGCATAATCCGCCTGTAAATATGAGAGAGGGTAGGACTAGGTGGAAATTTGATTTGCCTCTTGAAGGGCTGATGTTATGCTACCCAGCCGCTCCTCCATTTTATATCTGTCTTGTATGTCTTGTTATTGTCATACATTCTCTATAAATTTGGTCAAACGTATTAGTATTCGCGCCATAATTTTTGAGGCACAAGAGATGGTTTTACTAATTTTAGAATATATGTTATAAACAGGCAAATACTATTGAAGTCATGAATATTAGTGATACTGTTGAAATTATCGATGGCTATAACCCTAAAATATGGAATAAATCATTTTAATTCCTGAATCGGTAATTTCATTAAATTTCTACTTATCTTTTCCCTTGCATGCCAGATTCTTTTGATGGAATCGGGAAATTGTTAGTTCACTAATGCGGCACTACTTAGCCGTCTTTCGATCAGGTTATATTTACCGATTAAACTTTAAACTAGAGCGAGTGCATAGGTATCGAAATATTTATTTTACACAAATGTACAATATCAATAAACAATAAATTGATAACTATAATTGCTCGTCACGCTACATCACCTTCGTCGCACTATCTACTACCCCATACGGCACTACGTCAATTTAACTCAAAAGTATTACGGCTTATACGTCATAACCGTAATACTGTGGGTACGTCTGAGAAATGTCTTCACCTTGAGTAGAAACGATTAAATTGGTTATAAGAAATGAGGATGAATTTAATTTGATTAACAATTAAAACGAGTATCCGTAGAACCGATTTACAACCCTAATCTATATGAATTAATTATTTCGTTAAAATTTATAGTTTCTTAGTTTATTGCAAGTATTTAAAAATTGATCTGTTTATATTTCAATAGTTTTCATGATTTATTCTAAGGTTTAAAAATATAAACCTACAGTATAGTTTATCAAATTTAGTCATAAGCATTGTCGTCGTCACTAGTTGCAACAAGGTATCATAAAATGACTATACAAAATAAGTACAAAACTAAACATGCATAGTGCCTTATAAATTCGAAATGAAAAAACTTCTTGTTTATTACTGTCCTTCATTAATACAGTAATAATTATAACACTAAACCTATATTGTTTCTTATCTTTTATAAAAAAATTTTGTAATGAAATAGCCTTTAATTATTCTCTGTCTTTCCAAAATAAAGAATAAGACTTTCGCCGTAAAATAAGCTTGGCTGAGTCTTATATTGCTTCCAATTGGTAATAATTTGATCAAGATTACATGTTTTATAAGAATTATTTAAATAGATGACACTATAAGAAAAGTTAATAAGCATAAAGATGATATATTTGATACAAAATTGATTAATTTTACGTACCCAAGCATCCTTTTATCACTTGTAGATTCACTTATATTCATTGGATCATAAACGAAGAAGTCAAATGGATGTTTAGCTGTTAAAGGTATATCAACAGCAATAGTTGACGAGTTGTCAGTTTCTGGTGCACTAAATGCGCATGTACTCGGTGCGTAAGATTCTACAGAAAATATAGTGGACTTTGAAATTTCTACTATATCATCTACTTTAGAAAGCACAATAGGATATTCAATCTGGTCAAAGTCAAAATAGTTAGGTTGCCCAACAATAATCCATCCAATTTTTAACGAATTTTTTTCATATTTTTCACTTTGAGCTTTCTTAATAACAATTAATGGAGCATATTTATTAACATAATCCACTAATATGGAAAATATATCTTTGTCTTTGTCTTCTTCATTTATTATTGAAACAAAGATATAACAGTTATGAATATTCGTTATCTTCTCCAGCTCCTCAAACTGCATAGCTAACGAATGAACGTACGTGGTTTTCTTAGAAAAGTCTCGATTTAAAAGAATATCTTTTGTACCTGCTATAAAATATTAAATATAATAAATAGTACAAAAATTATTCATGTGCAAAATTATATTAATGTCGCAAGTTAAAAGAAATTGAAGTAAATTTGAGTCCACAGTTCTAATTGCTTGAATTTTAACAGACTCAAAACATATTTTATGTTACAATATTACAAAAGTCGTTACATTTTTATACAGTCAACTTTCTCTAATAAAATAATTTTAATGGTTATACCAAACCACCTGTAGTTCTCTGTATGACTGTTTGATATTATACTTTTGCTTAACGTTCTTCCCCTCCATCTCTGTGAGCTCCCTTCTGACATAAATAAACAATCAAAACACCATTATACAACTTACTCTCGTTACAGTGAAGGCATGGGCTGAGAAAAAAACAAAAAAAAAACACTATAGCTTATATCGAGTGAATGGTATATTTATTTCACCGTATCGAGTTGAATTTCAATACTTCCATAATTCAAAATTCAAAATTCCTCACTGTATCGAGAGTTCACTGTAAAGTGAGTTGTATAATGTAGTTCTAAATCATTCCTGTGCCTAAGCTCAAAAGGTAATGTTATACGTACTATTGGCAAATTTATATACCAAACATTCAGAAAAAAAGAAAAAGTACGCGCGAATTCCAAATGCTAGTACAAACTTTGGTACCACAAAATCACTGTGAACGAGTTCCAGCGAATGAATTGACTCTAGATCCACAGCTAGGGATGGATTTGACTACGAACGGCTACGATTATTCATAGCCAATTTGCTAAATACTGAGATAATTTTGTTCTTGAGCTTTTAATCAAACTTGTTCAGAATTAAATTCTAGTCATCCCATATTATAAGTAGAAAGAACGATACCTTTTCTGGAACTCGGAATTTTAAGATTTGTAACGTCATAGCCGGCTACTAGCCGCCGGCTAATAGTCGGCTATAACGTTACAAATCTTAAAATTCCGAGTTCCAGAAAAGGTATCGTTCTTTCTACTTATAATATGGGATGACTAGAATTCAAGAACAAAAATTATCTCAGTATTTTTCAAATTGGCTATGAACAATCGTAGCCGTTCGTAGTCGAATCCATCCTTAGTCGAACCAGTCCCTATTCACAGCTATTCAGTGCAAGATTTTATAGTTATTGTATGGGTATGTATGAATAACCTAGGCACACCGACGGCAACAACGTGCTTTTATGTGACTAGGGCATGCACAAATTGCCAACAAAAACACGCAAAATGTTCTGACGAAGGATGAACCAGTGTGTGTAACTGGGGTTATTCGTATACCTTATAATACTGTAATAACTATCTTATTGCACGGTGTCTGATGTACAATCCCGTGCCAATAAGTAGATGAAAAAAGTACGGGTTGTTACATAAGACCCGCGCAATAAACTCAATTTATCTTTCAATTTTAGTTGCGATACTCGTACTAGATTTTGTCGAAACGAACAGGTTCGGTATAGAGAATATTGACTGTTTGATGAGATGAAACTTAGGTAACCTTAAATCTCGGAACTTTAATAATTTCTTAGCTGACCTTTTATCTATTAAAATCTCCGCCAATTTTAAAATATATTATTACGTAAAGTAATATTACCTTTTAATATTCGGAAGCCTAGAATGTCCAAGACATTTTTCTGTAAATCATCGTCCAACAATTCAAATATAGAACGAATTTCATCATATCCGATTATTTCCCAATTATTATAATGATCTAGAGAGTTAACCCAAGGCTCTATAGAATCATTATTGGTATAGTTTTTTTTAATTCCACCTATGATTGGTGTATCATTATTGTTACTTTCTTTAACTATGGCCCCTCCAAAAACAAGGCTGCTTGCATAAAAGCTGCCATATTTTTTTGTTAAATCACGGAGCTGTTCCAATTTATTTGTGGGATCCAATTCACCATTAACGACTTTACTAACGTCATTAACAAAGTTCTCTGTTGGAATAATACTTGATTTTGAAATAATAAGTTTTGCTTTTTCCCATTTTTTGCAAAAAAACTCTATGGACATTTGATAAGGAAAACTTTCTACGTCAAGGAAAGTAGAAAGCCAGGGCAAAATTTCTGAAATGTCCTTATATGAAATAAAGTTTCGTTTACAAATGATGTCGAGCTTTTTGTTACAATTTTCTGATCTTTCTATTACATTGTTTAATAAAATTTTTTGATTTAACCTTTTCAATATTGACCGTAAATGCCTTTTCAGGAGCATTTGCAATACAACAATCTTTTAATAAATATCCTCCGAATTTCTCTACTAATTGGGGCCAATCAACGTAATATGATTGTTTAATAAAAAAATTGTTATCTACAAATTGTAATTCGGATAAGTTTATAGTAACTTCTTGTTGGTCTTGAAAAATCTGGTTATTATCTTCGTTCAAAGGATATTCATGAATTTTAGTGATGATGTAATTTTCTTTATATACTGAATAGTAGTCAGACTTTTTCTCAAAGTTTCCTTCTTCATACAAAGAGTAGTTAGGCTGTTTCTCGTTCTCTTTTTTATATAAAGAGTAATCAGCTCTTTTCTCAATATCATTACTGTGTGTGTTTCCCATTTCTCTAATAATGAAAAAATTAATAATTAAGAAAATATCGTAATAAAAATATGAATACAATTTATAGAGGTGCTTTTGGAAATGTTTCAAAAGCGACGTGGAAAATTCACGATTGTTCTTAAAATCATATCCATTCTTTTTCCAAATCGGCCTTATTTTATATTTAATAGTTTTAGCCTTATATTACTAACTATTTGTGTATAAGGAAATATTAATAATAAGAAATATTTTATGAGAATCTTAGGCTTTGTTTTGAAGCTACATATCAGTTTCACATATGCGCAAGTAATTTCCAAATTACTTTTTTTACACTAAGGTTATAGTAAAGTAGTACATGTTTCACATATTGTTTGCCTAACCATATGCAATGATTGAGTCATGAATCTTATTCTTTCATAATAATTGGATAACGTGATTTGTTATTTCACGTTACAGACAGTACACAAAATTCCGGATGATGTAACATAATGGAAATTCCAATGAATTTATCAAAATAAAATAATTTTTGGAAATTTCCGGCATTTTACAATAAATTTTACATAACTGTGTTACGTAGCGTACGATCCAATATTGGTAAATGTGTAGTTATAGTTCATATTCATTGGCTAAATGATTGTTGTGTTACGTTATATCGGATCCGCCTTACTATTACTATTGTTTAACCTAAGGCTCACTTAGCTGACATCACACAAGGTGACATTTTATTAAAAATATTTACCGTATATTCCCGAAAATAAGCTACCCTCTTTTCTTGGAAGAACATAAGAAATTTTTTTCCGAAAACAAGCTACCCCTATAATTTTTTATTAGCTACAAAGTAGTTGCTCTATATAAAAGTCAAAATTGTACTAAGTAAATCTATATTTGTCACTTAATAAAAGTTGTTCAGAATATAAAATTACACATTCTGAAAAGTTTTATGCAATTTGAAATTTGATAGCTTTTTATTAAGATATTTTTGCATTTTAAGTTCATATTTAAAATGCAAAACTGGACTAATGAAAAGTTATCTAAATTGTATGAAACTTTCAGGATATGTGTATTTTTATATTCTGAACAACTGTTATTAAATGATAAACATAGATTTGCTTAGTACAATTCTAACTTATATATATATAACCTACTTTTACTTAATAAAAAATGACCAAAAATTTATATAACCCGAAAATACGCTACTTTGGAAATTTTCGTGTAATTTTTTGTCCAAAAAAGGTAGCTTATTTTCGGAAATATACGGTATCTACAACAAGTCAATTGTTAACCCTAACCCTATGTGATGTCGGCTAAATGAATTTACTGTATTGAAGCACCACTTAAAAATAGTAAAAACATCATATAATAGAGTACAATAAATACCCAATACAGTACGTACGTACGCCACTGACTATAGTACCCTGTTATAATATCCCATAAAGACCCACGTACACAATTCCTGAGTTCACGATTCAGAAAATTGAAAAAAACCTGGGGTAAAATTTATATTTGAAATCCTTATTAAACTAATATTGAAACTATGCCGTAATTAGTACCCAGGTGGGGGGGACTATTCAATAAATCTGAATAGTATTGTGTCTGTTTACTATAGTCAGTGCGTAAAGTAATAATAAGAAATAAAACTCATTATATTTATTTACACAAAAGCATGGAAATTGCATTAATGCTTCTGCATTAGCACTATAAAAAAAATTCAAGTTAATTTCTAAATAAAAATATCATACTGCACTATAACCTTAAGTCATATCTGCATTTTGAATAAGTATATTTAATTTAATGTTGTTATGTTACTTTCTTCTATATATCAGTTTTGGGTACGTACAGTAGGAAAAAAGTATTTTTGATTCTAATTATAAATTATTATTCTTTATAAAAATAGATGTCAATATTTTTTAAAATAGAAATCGTGAAAACTTTTCCCCTACTGTAAGTACAGACATATGTCTAATTTGCTTTCTTTACCATATACCTTTATTTATTGCTAAGTCGCACCTGGGGTTATCACTCCGTTTATAAAGTTTGTCGCACATTCGGAATTAAAAATTTACTATCCGTGTAACTTAGTGATGAAACATTTAAGCAGCTCGAGATTGATGAATTTCTTTTCTTCTAATTTATAAAATCCAGTTTCTCGATTAAAAATAAGCCAGATCATTGCAAATTTTTAATTTATATATATAAATATCGATTAAGAAAACCAATCGAAAATCTCTATATTTGAGGAACATAAAATTCAAATTAGCTCGAATATCTATTATCATTAAAGTTTAAATTCACTCGATGCAGATTGATAACCACAGTATGCATAGCATTCAGCAAGGTATCAATGCTAATATGAATAGCTACTATCATCTATCTATTATCATCGACGAAATTAAACGAATATGCGAAACAGCAAAATATAATAAAACAATTTGTAGTACATTAAATAGTTTAATATCGTCTCTAGAAGCTGCTGTGAGGCATTTACAACACGGAACATATAGTACAAATTTTGAGAAGATAGATAAATTTAAGCGGTCATTGGAAAATGTTAAAGAATTTGTTAAAAATATATCTCAGCTCCATGGACCTATAATATATGAAGGATACGAAGATACTGCAAGTATTAGGAAAAAATTTTTACAGATAATGGATGAGTGTAGAACTTGTATGAAAGATTTAGATTTTCGGATGGTAATCACTGCCACTGCACAAAGGAGAATCTGTAGGGAAAGTTTAAGAAATTGTCATAATGAAACAGAACAAGTATGTATCTCATTAAAATATATAAATCAAATATGAAAGGCTCACCTTTCGATAGTTGATTCGCCAGCATGTCCGGTTCGTCAGATTCTGGCCATGTTGTATCTATCGGGACACTTCAAGAACACGGAATCCAGTGATCATCACATCACATGCATGATTTGTTTACTAGCACTAAAAAATTAGCCTAACACTAACCCTAACTACCCGAACACTTAATCATGTGATGTGATTATCCCGAAAATATCACTGGGTTCCTTGTTCTTGAAACTACCCGTTGTATCTATAAGTACTGGACGTTAGGGTCGTAAAATTACATGTAATACTGTAATTTTCGTAAACAACCTACGATCCATAGACTTTTTGGTCGGTAATTAACAATTATCATGTGATTGCCATTCATTCAGTTACTTCATTACGTACAATTTTGCTATAGCATACCTTAATATATAATTGATTATTAGGTGACAAATTGAAGTTAATACTCTAATATGCGCAGCTGTTAATGTAGGCTGCACATGCAAAAAGACTATTTTTGTCTTCTTTTAACTTTAACTAGTAGGGACTGACTGGTACTCTCTTAGTCGTTAGTCGTTTAATCACGTTTAACCGTTTAATTAAACCAGCATTAATATCAATTTTGATAATGTCTTTCGGTTAAGCGTGGTGTTCTGCAAAAGATTTAGATCTATAATTTATGAATCCAAATCTAATTTAATTGCGGCAGCCAATCAAATACGTCGTGATCGGATCGGGTATTTACCCGTACAGATCCGGACCGGACCGGGCACAGATATTACTAGATTCAACCACTAATCAATATATATATATTTTTTTTTAGTTTATTATGAGGCGCAATAAATTCCTAATTGAAAACAAAAACCTAAATCGTGGCCTATATATTACTATCTTCGAACGAAAAAGATTTTCAAAATTCAAATTTGATGTTCACCCCGAAACTGTCCCGTATGGCAAAATATTTCAAATGAGTCTAATATATCCAATTACAACGCAAAAAGACTATTTGCTTTTAGAGGATCATATTAATCCATCTACAATTAGTTCCGAACATTATCATCTTTTATCTGATGTGTCAATAATAAGTCCAACTGAACGTATCAATAAAATTTATCTGGAAATACAATATCCTTTATATGATATATATTTTAATGAAATGCTCCCTCGAGAGTTGATTGATAAATTTAATAATGCCATAGAACATTATAACCCTTACCATGAATTAATGCGAGTGTTTGAATGCTATGGACATTTTTTGCCTAAAAAGGTTACTATTGGACGTAAGTTATTTAGAATGTCTGATTTAAAAATAACACCACTGGAACCAGTACAGGTAACTCAGACAATTGTACGGACAACTATTGATGACTTTGAGAGTGAATTTATAAAAATTTTTAAGCTTTGGGAAAGCCAAATCGTAAATTTTAAGAAAAATTCATATTTGGTTATGATGAATGGTAAAACAATTGATATTAAAGACATTCAAAAATGGGCATCATCATGTTTGGAGAACAGTTCAGATTTCAACGATCTTCAGATCACCACTTGGGAAGAATTGTGTCCTATATATGAAATGCTTAGTGATCCTCTGAGAAAAGATGTCAAATCAATTATTGGCATTAACGATCACATAGGTAATTACAAGCCTAACGAAAAGGTACTCATGTCGGGATTGAGTTTAATAGGTGATTCTCATTATAATATTATAACATTGGATCATAAATTGAATTCTTCGGACTATAAAGTTTTTGGGAAGGTTATATCACAAAATGGGAATCCAATTGAAACAGTAACAGTTAAATTTAAGGCTAAATGTAAACATAGCTTTGTAGCAATATTAGAAAACATCGATGAAGTTGAGTAAGTACATTATGCTGTTAAATTATGGTTTTATTATAGATTCTGCTGACCAATTTCCCTACTATTATAAATCAAGAAGTTAACCATTTAAAATGTTATTAGTTATTTAATCTACAATTATTCGAAATTGGTCGGCAAAATCTATAATCTGAGAATACAAAGTACAATATTAAATTTATTTAATATGAATTTTTTAGCAACTCCATATATCCAAATTTGCAGTTGGCTTGGATATTGGTCGGGTTACCTAAGATCGGATATTTTAGTCAAAAAACACGAGATATTTCTATATGGTCCTTAAATAGCCATAAATTTAAATATAAGGAAAATATCAAAATTCCCTTTATTATTCCTGAAACTTTACCAAAGGGTTCGATTATCTGTGCAACTTTTGGATTTCCATCAAATTGTGGACCGAATTTTGAAGCAACAATTCAACATGACCATGGAAATGAATTTAATGCCATCATAAATGATTCTAACGATCATGATATAGCTGAGAACCAAGAGTATTATTTATTCCAATGGTGCATCCTCCATTCTGAAATTTACATAATTGAAACTAACAATGAACTTACTTTTGATTTGAATTCAATAAGTCAATTTCAATATACATAAGAAAACTATGGATTGACAAACTGTATATATCATTTTTATCATAATTAATAAGCAATATCATAATCTAAGAGCCGACATGATCAGAAATTTTCTGAACTTTATTACCATGCATTTTAGATGTAATCATAAATTACTATGATGGTCATGAAATTTTAAAATCGATTTCGGCGTCGTTCAGATTAACAAGTTACATGCTGCTTTCCTCACTTTTGAGTAGCGGCTGTTGACTTTTAACGCCCCGAGTTTAAGTTTCACAGCTAATTAGAGTACTGTTTTACTCAAACTATATCTTACAAGTTTGATGTAACTAATTTACTTTAGCTACGGATACTGTATGCAATTGATGACAATGACTGTGTTTAAGCTAAAATAAAATATATGTTATTGCTATTATGCGTTACAGGAATTTATGATGATTTCTAGCTACAAAAGAGACAATGGATAATGTATATAATGATATAATTAGTCGTTACAATACGAATTTTTTCTTTATTAAATTTTATGTGAGCGAGACAAAACTATCGAGAATGTCGGGTTACTTATACATTCTATTCGATTATGTTTGTTGACTATTACATCTATTAGTTATACTAGATCTATTCTATCTTATATTTACATACTATGTAATATATATAATATATGTAATAAAGCCAATAGAGATAATAAAAAAGATGTTATTTCTAAAATTGCTGAAAGCGCAGATAGATGAGATCTAAAGTGTAAAAAATATAAATCTATATTTTTAATTCTGAGTTTGTGCGTTTTAAAGTTTTTGATTGGCATACCTGAGAATCTATATCTTTAATTCTGAGTTTGTGCGTTTTAACGTTTGTGATTGGCGTACCTGATAATCTATATCTGTTTGTGCGTTTTAACGTTTTTGATTGGCGTACCTGAGAATCATAATTTAATTCTGAGTTTGGGCGTTTTGGCGTTATGATTGGTCGTACCTGAGAATCATGACCTGAACGTGAGAATTCTGAGCTTATGGGTTTTAACATTTTTAATTTATTTGTCGTAACTAGGCATAATGTAAAAGTTAAGCAATTACCAGCTATGCTATAAAGATATAGATTAGCGTTATGATTGGTCGTACCTGAGAATCATGACCTGAACGTGAGAATTCTGAGTTTACGGTTTCAACATTTTTAATTTATTTGTAATAACTAGTGTTGGTGGCAAAACCAACGAAATTCGCTGCGCCAAATTCGACGTCACGAGGCCTGGAAACGTGACAAAAGACC